TATATATTATTATATATATATATATATATATATATATATATATATATTAATATGTAAGAAACTGAAAATTATAATTGAAAGTCAATAGAACCTGAATAAATAAATAAATATAATATAAATAATACATATCTAAACCTAAGATAATAAAAAAAATATAAAATAGAATAATAATTTATTAATTTATTAAGAGTTTTTTTCTAGTTCTGCGCGTTGCATTATCTGTCTATTATCTATTCAAACGCATAAATTCTGTAACATTTTCAATTTTGCATTTTTTTGCAAAAAAAATGCAAAATTGAACACTATCTTATTCCATCGGATTGTTAAATATAAAACGATAAATCAATAAAATCCGAGAGGTTTCAGACTTACCTGGAATACCGCCCGCTGCAAGACGAGCTCAAAGAAGTCCCGGAAGAGCTTTTCATGGGCGTTCCGGCGTGGTATGCTGCGGAAATCCCGTTTCTCGACGCCTTGTCGCTCCACGGTGCCATTTGCGAGACCTGAGGGTGCTGACATCGACGAGGAGTCCGCCACCGGATGTTCCCCAGACATCTTCTGCCGAGATCCTGCGGCTGGACCGGCTCTTCCGGGTTCCGCCTGCGTCAACCTGACGTCGTTGGTTATATCCTCGTTGACGGGCATGACTGTCAAGCTCGGCCGATCGGTCTGGGTCCGTGACGACGACAACAGTTTCCTTTATATGTATTAACGCTGACCGCGTCAATCAAGGACGTCCCTCCCTCCAGTGGCCCTCTGCGGCGCTTTTCCGCGGAGCGGAGAGTTTCCGCTTACGTTTTCCCCCGCGCTCGTTCACCGCTGCCACGGGCAAAAGCCCATTCCCACGCGGATCAGAGGAATCGGGAGTTTGGAAATCCCCGGAAGAAAGCTGCCGAACAGCGGCGATTCCGTCAAACTCATAATCTGTAGCGGAGTTACGAATTAGTGAGGAAATAATCAATGAGGCTGACTCACTCTGGGAAATCTCCCGCCTATAAGATTTCTGAGTATTCAGATATTTCGGATATTCGAATGTCATCCGTCCCGAGTCAAAAACTCGAAACTATTTGGATCATTTGGATCATTCCGATATTCGAATTATTTGAATGTAAATTATCTAAATAATATCTAATTATCTTACGGTTAATTAATCGGATCGGTAAAGTATTCGGATTCAAATCTAAATTTGAATTTAGATTTTGAAAAGGAAAGGAATATTGATGTAATTAATTGTTTTTAAAATATTTTTCACTAAACTATATATGTATCTTCTAATTATAATATACCTTTTTAATCTTATGCCTAATAAACGAGTCCACAGAGTCTAGATTCGAATCCAAATTCGAGTTCAAATCCTATTCCGAATCTAAATTCATTGCGAGTCCAAATCCGAATCTGCATTCTATATTTCGATATTTCTACTATTCTTAGAAAATTCAAATCTTCGAGCATCTTTGAAGCATCGCATTTACTTGCTATCCGAATAGCATTTGATTGATGAACGAATCTTGAAGACCTACTCTCGAGTTCATCCGAGAATAAACGCTGTGCTGAAGATACCCACGAAGATACCCTAAATGAGAGAAGTACAATGAGAGAAGTCCTGGCAATTAACATTAATTAATAATTGAATATTAGAATATTTACTTACACATATATATATATATATATATATATATATATATATA